TTCCCTCCCCCTACCTAGCCCTCACCTCTCTCTGCTCCCTCCCCCGTCCCTCATCTCTCCATCCTCCTCCAAGTCTCATCGTTTGTTTTTCCTTATACTAATGGTGTCATTTTCGTAAGATTGGCGAATTGGCTGAGCCTAAGGTTCTCTGGATGTGTCCGCATCTTCCGCTGGTTGAGAGAAGGATCGTTGTTTTGTGTTGATGTGTTTTGTTTCCTTGTATGAAGGTCGCAGCGTTTGCTCAGCCACTCCTCTCGAATGGTCGCTTCCATGCTTTTGCTATTGTGACTATTGCTGCAATGAACATAGGTGTGCATCTGCCTGTTGGTGTTTTATTCTTTCTTTAAATTATATCCTCAGTCGAGAGATTGCTGGACCGTATATTTGCATTTGCTTAAGGAAGTGCCGTACTGACTTCTGTACTGGTTGTATTATTTCACCGTCCCACCAGCAGTATAGAAGTGCTCCAATCTCTCCACATTCTCTCCAGCACCCGTTATTGTGTTCATTTGAATTTTGCCGACTGGTTTTTGTGAGGGAGGAGCTCATTGTTGCTTTCATTTCATACGGTTGTTAGCCACCTGGATATTGTCTTTAGTGAACTGTCTATTCATATCTTGTGCCCCCATTTTTTATATTAAAAACCAGATCAAGCACAAAAGTGCATCCAAGGGGAGATCCGATGGCAAGGTTTTAACCATTGAAGTAAGATTTATCATTTTAAACTACTACGAGCGTCTTCCCTCAATACGCTCTCTCTGATCACCAGATTTTCCCCATCCCTCAATTACGGCTAGAGGAAAATCACCGGAGGCTTATTTCCTGTGTAGATCCTACGAATGTACTTCAGGCTTCCACTGTCATCCACAACCTTCCACACACCAGAATCTCACAATTTGAGCTCTGATACTATTCCCTCCTTCAGATTTGGATCCTATAATTTACAATCCTTGGATCATAGATGTTGGTGTGCTTCTCCCATCTGGGCTTAGTTGACATCTCACTTAGATAAGGCTGCTTGTTTGAAACAAGCCTTTAAGACCTCAGACTCTATTCTTTCTGGTAGCTGGGCACCATCTAATTTCTTCACCACATCTTGCTATAGCACCCGTATCTCCCATGTTTTCTTCATGAGGGTGAGTATCCAACAGGGCCAAGATGTAAGAACTAATTGCTCTTAGATTGCAGCTAGGATTAAGTATGAGCCTAAAATCCATTCCTGAATCTGCTTTCTACCTGTAGATCACCTTAGAGACATCTTTGTCATTTTATAGCAGACGATCTCATTGATCATCTCCCTGGAGCATAAGGACCTTCTATTTAGAATGCCATGGTCTGATCCCATGGTAATAGTTTTAAAACACCATGGAGAAAGGAAGAGTGGACAAGTGTAGCCAACTACAAATGGCAATAGATGGATTTTTGACTTGTACAGAACAAATCCTTGACATGACGGGTGGTCAGGCAAAACTTGCAATATTCACTGGCAATATCAGACACGGGTCTGTCAGAATAATACATATCAAAACAACAAGTAGGACATTAAAGTAGTTGAGTAGATGCTAGTCTGCCTATAAGATAGGTCCCAGAGTTGATTGAATCACGTGATTTTGATGCACATAGCCTGCAAGATAGAGAACCGTTCCATTGGGCTTCCAAGATTGTAAATCCTTATGAAAGCAGACATCTTTTTTCCAAAGGGAGGCTGGTCGGTTTGAACCTCCAACTCTTGGACTTACAGTTCCATGATTAACCCATTGTGCCACTGGGGTGCCTTCATTATATTAGAATGGTACCAACTGTTAAGCATTCAGCGACTAATTCAAAGATTGGGGGTTCAAACCCACCCTGAGACCCCTCAGGAAGAGTTGGAAATCTGACACACATGGTGTTGCCCTGACTTGGAATTGATGCAATGGTTTTTGGGGTTTCCTTACAGGAGTTAATAGCTGTTGGCCATTGTTTGGGCACATGGCCTTTGCAGGCGGTATTCCCAGACCCAAGGGAACTGGGGGGCTTCTTCTGGTGTGGTCACGGAGTCTCAGACTTTCACCACTTTCTCATAGCCACTTCCGCTGTCCCGCTGGGAGCAGTCAAACCTTCCTTTTAAACTGGCTTTCAAAGATAGGAGTGGTGACAAAAGGACTATGGGGCCCAGGCAAGATCACCCTATCTTTACACACCTAACAGGCTGGTTAGGTGATTGCTACCAACGTAGAAACTTCTTTTATGCTTTAACTTTGATTCGAAGCTTAATTTGCTTCTGAGCCCTAAGTTATTGCTTCTTCAGTTTCTTTGGGGGACCTCTTTTTTCTGGATGACCCCCTCTTCTGGTTGGGGAACAGCTTGTTCCTTTTCAGCAAGGCTCATGTCAATGTGGCAGGGGGCGCTCAGGGACGGGTTGATCCGTGAGCCCTGCATGTCCCGCTCTGTGAATCTTGGAGGCTTTGCTCACCTGGGTGGGCTCGAGGACCAGACTCCATCTCGAAACCCTGACTCTGCAATGTGATGCACACGCAGCAAAGATTCGGCGCCCTTTTGGGGGACCATTGACCCTGGATCCAGTCTCACTGCCTGGCCTGGGCAAACCAACTAACTCCACCGTGGTAACGTCGGAGGGGCACACACTGTTTCTCCAGAGGGACCTCTTTCAAAAACGTGCATGGTGGCTTTCCGGACAAGCAGACCCTGGAGGGCCTGGGCAGTTCCACAGGTGTTACTTTGTGGGGGGTTTCTGGGTCCAGGGAGTCGCAACTCATTGGGGGAGATCCCCTTGGGCTGCTACGGGAAAAGCAGAAACCTCTTCCAGTGGTGTTTCCTACATGTCCCATGTGAGCTCCTCACACACACGGGGCACGTTCTGTAAGGGTGAGTTGTGTGATTTGCAGAGAATTTACCAAAACATCTGGGTCTCGCTCACACGAACGTCATTGCTGCCTTGGTCTTCTTGTGCATCGTGTCTGAAGTTATATAATGGGCTTGCCCAGCAGCGGGGCATGTGGCACACTGGGGGCACCGGATTTCATTACCTGCTCTGCAGGCCAGTTAGACAAGGCGAAAGCTCAAGGACTGGGATTGAGGTATTCCCGCTGTAGCCCTGGCAACATACACCGAGTACCCTGTGGGCTGCCAGAACAGTGTGTTCTTGGATTTAGCCCGAATGTTCCTTCCACTTGCTTTCTTTGGACAGGAAAGACTAGCCGCTAAAAGAGGGCATCGTGTCTGGGGGACAGAGTGAGGGCAAATGCTCCGTGAGGTGGATCGCCTTAACAGCGCTAGCAAGGGGCTCAAACATAAGGCACCAGGATAGTGTCACTCCGTTGTGCCCAGGAGCTGCCAGGAGGCTGGGGACTGGAGGGAGGAGAGTCCAAGGGGCAAAACAAGGTCCACCCAGACACGGGCTCCACTTGGCCAACTTGCCCACTCTTTATTGCACGCGGACCACTGCAGACATTGCTGAAATTTGAAACACACACTCACTCACACCCCATGACCCCTCTCTTGCTCCTCTTGAGAAGCCCAGAGGTGGGACCTCCCTCCAATTTCTGGAGGATAGAATGAGGGGTCTGGAGGGCTGGGACGAAGCATGAGGGGAAATCGGAGCAAGTGGGGTCGGGGGAGGGAAGGAAGGCAGCAGGGTCGGTGGGAAAAGCTAGATTCTCCAAGCAGCTCCACACACGCACAAAGGGGCAAAGACCAGGGTCGTCGGCCTCGGCTCCGGCCCAGCAGCCGCGGGGGATTCTGGGAAAGACCACCCGTCCAGAAGACATTTCGGTCCTTCCTGTCATGAAGCGTCTGCCAGGAGGGGCTGGGCCAAGGTCCCTGACCTGTGAGGAGAGAAAAGAGGGCCATCAGCTTGGGGGGATGAGAGTCCAGGCTGGGGGCTCCCGGTAAAGGGAACAGAGATAATGGGGATGGAAACTAGTCCTTAGGCTTTAGAGGGAGACAGGAAATGGTTCTAGGTTTTAGTGTCAGGAGGCAAAACCTGGTTCTGGCCTGGAAACTGGTATCCTGTTTTGAGTGGGCCGGATTTAGAGCTCATCTGAAATGTATCGGGCTTGGAAACTAGGAATCAGGTTTAGAATGTGCCAGGCTAGGTCTAGGTCCCAGAGAATAATCTGGAAATTGCTACCTGCTCTTGAATGTATTGAGCTGGAAATGAAGACGTGGGTATACTAGAAACTGTAAGTTGAGTCTAGGTTTAAACAGAGCTGTTTCTAAGCTTAAACAGAGCTAGACTCAACTCTAGACTCAACTAACAGTTAAATGTAGGCTTAAACAGAGTCCAATCCTATCACTCAAGTGGTGGGTTGGGCTGGGAATTGGCGCCTAGGTGCTGGGAGCTTGTACTGTATTTGATTATGGGCTATTATGAGGCCAGTGTACGGTATGTTTGATTCTAGACTGGTGGTAGGAGCTGGTACTGCATCGGGAGCTGGCTACTCGATTTTGTTCCAGACTAGTAGAGAGGTGTACAGTGTGCTGGTACTATATTTGATTCCAGACTTGGGTGACTGAAGGGTATGCTGGGAACAAGTTATTCTATTTGATTCGAGATGGGTGGAAAAGTGTACAGTGTGTTGGGAGCTGGTATTAATTATGTATCGATTCTAGACTGGTACTACAGTGGTTCTCCACCCTTCATACAGTTCCTCATGTGGTGGTGACCCCCAACCATAAAATTATTTCCGTGGCTACTTCATCACTGTCATTTTGCTACTGCTATGCATCGGGCGACCCCTGTGAAAGGGTCATCTGACCCCAAAAGGGGTCAAGACCCACAGCTTGAGAACCACTGTGCTAGGGGCTGAGGCAATGGGTGAGTGAGGTATGCCGGGGATAGGTCATTGTACTTGAGTCTAAACTGGTGGAGAAGGGTACGGTGTGCTGGAAACAGATACTGGAGTCTAGACTGGTGGGGAGCAAAGATGTGTTGTGTTGAGGATCGAAGAGTCAGTGCTAAGAAGGTTGCAGCGCAGGTGGTCCGTTCTAGAGCTGGTGTTGGCATCTAGGACATTCTTGGCCTGGTGGTCACTTCTACAGTGGGTTTCTGGGAACGGTGGTTCACGTCCATGTATGCTGGAGGTGGGGTCAGCACTAGAGCTGGCTGGGAACCAGTGCTCAGGTTCACAGCCTGATGACAATGGACAGCGCTTCATGGGAATGCTGTGCAGGCCGTGAACGGAGGCTAACACTCAAGTTGGATGCGCTCCTGGGTTGGGAGCTGGTTGCTGGTGACAGGACTCGCCCTCTGCCCACATCACAACTCTGGGCTCAGCCCTCCCGCTCTGTGGATGGGCACAACGGGCACATCAGCATCGCCCAGGCTCTCCACCCTGGGCTGGGAGTTGGCAGGAACTGCAGGGGGAGATCCACTCCCGCCCGTCCACATCTCAGTGGGCACCCCCTCACCTCTGCCTTCGGGGCACACTACCCCTGAGCCAGGGCGGCTTTGATGATGGCTACCAACTTCAGAAACTTGCTCTCTGTGTCCATGTAGCCATCACCGTTCTAGGGACAAGAAGAGGCAAGGGGTGAGTTCCCACTGAACTCAGCTCCCACCCCACGCTTGTTCTAAAACAGATGGACGTACCTTCTTAGAGTGGACCAGCTTCCCCGCCACCATCACTTCAAAGAACCCGGTGGCCTGGGGGGTCCCCTCACCGCTCTGGGAGTGGGAGAGATGTTGAGGGGTTGACATACCCGTTTGGGAACCCCCCACTCCTTCCCAGGAAACAGAGGATGTGAGTAGAGGACCGGAGCTGACGCAAACACCTCCCAGGGTCATCCTGGCCCCAGGGATGGATCAGGTGAGCTGGGCTGGGTTCCACATCAACCCCCACCCCCACCCCCCAAGACTCACGATGTCCAGGCGGCCAGGAAACTCATCTTCTAACTGGTTCTTGAGCTGAAGATACTGCAAAAGGGCCAGGGAGTCACAGGGGGGTGGGGGGGTAGGGGGTAGGGGGTGTGGTGAGGTGGTAAGACAAACAGCACGCCCCTCAACATGCACCTCCCCCACAAGGGTGTCCCTTGGCTGCCCGGGCTGAGTTTACCTTAGACTTGTAACCTCAGGCTCCACTGGTGGGGACAAGGGTTCAAGAGAAGAGGTGGGAGGGGAGAGATGGAGAGAAAAGTTGGGGGAAGATAGTGGGAGCAAGGGAAAGATGGTTGAGGAAAGTCAGGGAGAGCAGGGGAGAGGGGGAGGTGCGAGGAGGCGGAGAGAGCAGGGAAAATAGGAGATGGTTGACAGGGTAGAGATGGAGACAAGGTGGTGAGAGGCAAGCAGAGGGGGAGGGAGCAAAAAGGGGTGGGGGTGGGGGGTAGGTAGGGAGGGCAGAGGAGAGAGACCAGCCAAGAGAAACAGGGCAAGGAGGGGTGAGGAGTGGGGAGGTGGAGTCAGAGGTGGGAAGCGTGGGGCCCGGAAGAGACAGAGGAGAGAGAAGGAAAATAGGAGGGGGCCGCCAGGAAAAGATGGAGGGACACACACACACACACACACACACACACACACACACACACACACAGTGTTGGGGAACGGGGAAGCAGATGGGGGCGGCAGGGACCCAAGAAGGAGGTGGGCCCACATACAAAGCACCATGCCAGGGGAAGACCCACAGGAAGACAAAATACAAGAGGGCAGCGGAAAAGGGGGAGTGGGGGCGACACAGGAGGAGATCCCAGTGGGTGAGTCCCGCAGGAGAGACAGCGAGGGGGAGGGGAAAGAGAAAGTGAATTAGCACACACTGTAGTCTGCCACACGCCCCACCTCGCCCACACCCTACTCCCCACCCCCACCACCCACCCTGGGCAGTGGAGCGCCTTGGGGTTCCCATCCAAACCCTGCTCCATCTCACCACCCCTCCCCCCGCACGCTATTTCTGGACCGAAATCTGGGGCACAGGCCTGGGCGTTGGTGGGGAGGGACTCCAAATGTCACTTTCTGTGGCACACATTCATATTTAGTAAGCTCCTGCTGTATGCTTAAGCATTTTACCAGGCACACGAGGTTAAGACACACACACAATCATCACACCACGTCCATTCGAGCCCACGGTCAATGCCAGTGTCACAGAATAGGGCTGAGCCACGGGGTTTGCCCAGACTTTGGCAACTGTACGGACGCAGGTCGCCAGGTCTTTTTTCCACTCTGGGTGGATTCGAACTGTCTCACCAGAGCCAAAAGAAGAATGTAGGGATCAAGAGGGGAAACTCCCCCTCCCGCCCCCCCTTCTCGGGAGGCGTTCGTTCCATGGGGGGTGGGGGGAGGTTGGGGGTGGGGAGGGATTCGATCAAGCCCGTAAGGTGCCACCTGGACGTCCTCCCCTCCCCAGAGAACCCTGAAGCTCGCCTTTCCACTTGCTACAAATAAGGGTAACTGGGGCCAGAAACCAGATTTGGCCTGGGCCCACTGGGTTTGCCCTTCGCGGTGAACCGCGCCCCACGTCCTGTTCCAACCACACCCCGAAACATTCCAGAAATCGAAAATGGGGCGCGGATTGCCCGACAGAAAGACGCCGGGCCTCTGCCATTACAACCAGCTCACTCCCTTCGGGTCAATACGGACCCATAGCGGCCCTGTAGGACTAGGCAGAACTGCCCCTGCAGGTTTCCGAGATTGTAATGGGGG